TACAGAAAAGGAGAATTTGCCTGACAATCAAGACCTTATTGAGTTTCTACATCATTTCTTTTAATCTCATAACCTTTTTGTTTGATTCAGGGGCAATACTGTTGAGAGAAATTAGAAGTTTATCACCCTTAGGGGTTAAAGGGTTAATTCATAAACATACTGAAATCACAGCAAAATTAGTGAAAATCAAAAGCATGTTACATACCAGTAAACAGCTTGTTTATCCTTGAACACCTGTGCTTGAAGGGTTGTAAATGCTTCCTTTTGCGCCGCAACAAATTTTCTAAATGTGGAAAAAGTAAGAAGAACACATGACTAATGAGAGACAATGATCACAATGATTCACAAAATATTCTGAAACTTGTTTTAGCCCATTTTTTCAAGCCACTCCACAAATGATGATCCTCAGAACCTGCCACTGGTTTCTCTTGCACATCATATCACACATGACGTGGAATAACAATGACACTGTTACCTTATTCTTTCATTCATTGCATCCTCTTCAGCTTGTAGGAATTTTTTGACTTGTTCCTGTACACTGACCATGGCAAGAGAGATCCTGTCTTGACCCAACAAAATAGCGTTGCCTGCGACTGATCAAATAGTTTTCCTTGTTTATAATCATAAACACAACCAACTACAAATTTTATATTGTTCTAAAATATCATCAGAGCCTCTCTTCCTTTATATATACATGTAATATCTACAGGGTAAATAGGTCACTCTCCATAAAATGCCAGTGATATTTTAATATGAAACAGTATCATAAGATATCATTTGCCATAAAAAGCAAATTTTAGTTTGATCTTGTGACTTAATGATCATAGAGCAGTCACAATTGTGTCACATGTCACTAATATCTTGACTTCCTCTATAGATAGGTTTACAGAGTCAACACAATGGAATTTTGAAAACTCACCACTGTCATGTTTTCTAACTTTAATTTCAATTGAACAGAAACATTACCATAGTTTTTTGTTTACATCAAAGAAAGTTAAATCTCATCGAGTGTTTTTACAGATAAAAAGACTCAGCTTCAATTTCTGTTCACACAAAGCAAATATCTTATTTTGTTACCAACTTTCATCAGATTATATATATATTGTAATGTCCCATGCTTAATCAATGAAGTACCATAATTTAATCTAGAGTCATGGAAGTATACTGCAAAGATTGTCAGAAAGTAATTGTCTAATGGTACAATGACAACAGGAAGGGGTGTGGGGAGTTCTCTTCTGCTACAAATAGTTATACCCTTTTTTGCTATCATTGTATGGAAATATTGGGAGACCCAGAAGCTTTAACAGTTGGACCTTTGGACTCTGGGTCCAGGGGTCCAGATGTCAAAGCTCATAGGTTGCCCTCTTGTCAGGAAACCCTGAAGAACTCTCTCAGTGTCTACCTGGAAGAATGTATATGTATCAAACTGAAAAGGAAGCCTGTAAATCTTTGGGGTAACCCACAGGGGACTTGCTTCCCATCCAAGGAGAATAAGCTCTGGTACCTTGTGGGTCTCTTGGACCAAGTACAGACTTAACAACTTTAACCCTTAATATTTCAAGGTATTAGTTGAAAACACCATGACAGACCAAGTACAACTAAAAGCTCTACCAAGTTTCCCTTCTGAACTGGTTAACTCTTGTTCACAACTGCACTACCCTAGCTTGATGTAAACAGACCCTTGGTACACTGGCAGTTAATGCTTGATATAACAATAAGCTAATTAAAGGGATATACGAGAAGAATTTTCTTAGTTTGAAATCTCAAAATTAGAAAAAGGTGCCAGAATAGTTCAAAGCTAACATATACCAAGATGCTACACCTAATTACTCACATGAGTTATCCACAACATCTGGATCATTTTCTTGTGCAGGTTTTAGAATAAGTTTGAAGATTGAAGAATATTCAGAGGAACTGGCACTTTTACTGTGAACAACTGAATCACTCTGAAATTTACAACAAAAGATAAACAAATCATATTTTGATGGTCTTCACCAAGCTTCAAATAAACCCAACTAACTGATCTTCGCAACAAAATATTATCTTTATATGTGTAAACTGTCATTAGTCAAAGGTTATTGGATGTTAGAATTTTTAGTATGCCAAATGTAATTTCCCAGGACAAAGTGGATACATAATAAGACACCAGAAAACACCTGTTCATCTGTTTGAATCTAAAAGCAGGTACAGGAAAGATGATAGTTCCAGAGCTGACCACTCAAAAGAGTTAAGTTAAATAAGAAGTATAGAGATGAATAACCAACCCTGAAATTGAATTATTTCACATCAGGCATCAACCTTGTCAATCTTACCCCCACCATTACCACAAACAGCTAACTGTTTGTTTTCCAGCTGATTCTTAGCGAGAGAAACCACAACCACAATTTTTTTTCAGCTTTGCAGCAATATATAGAAGAGTTGGTTATGGCCTTACCTCCATTCCTCTACTCATTAATACTCGGTCATACTTTTTCACGGCGTGTAAAGCATGTGTATCCATGTTGCAGTTTATACATGAGAAAACATCCCAGTCTTCAGCTTTGGTTTCTCTCACAAGACTTCCAACTTCCTGGATTAAACCAAAGCAAAGAAAAAATTTATTTCAAGATACCAATGTTCAATGTGAGGTTATAAATATGAAAAAAAAAAACTAGAAAAATCAAATGATCACTACAAAAAGCGGTACATCTATAATACTGCTGCAATGCGACTCGGGGCCAGTCTCAATCCCCTTTCTATTTATAGGTGCAATTAGAAAATACAAGGTGTAACGAAATGAAACGGAGAACATTTATAGCTCTTTAACCTGAAGGCAAAGGACGATATAAGTGTTCGGCATTCCAAATGTTTGCTGATATTTAGCTTAGCAATAAACATCGATGTTAGTAGTCTAACAGAGAGCTTCACTTCAGGTCATGTCGTACTCCCTTGTTCGCTGGTGTAGAATTTCCCGTTAGTAATTCAAGAATTCCATGCCAGAAATCTGATGCAATAAGCTCGACAAGTCACGGGGCCGACTTCCTTACGGCGGTGAAGGGAAATGCGACGGTAAACGACGAGAAATTTAAAAGCGAAGCAAAGATGATTGAAAAGAGTACTGCGGGTATAACTGGAAAAAGCGCGCCAAGGCTTTGCGGCTTGTCACCGATAATGCACAGCTCGACGCGACTTTAAAATATCCCTTAGTGTTCCCTGTCCGGATACTGAAACGTACGCTACAAATCACCTTTGTTATTCCGCCGACAGCCAGTTCAACTTCGTACAGCTCCTTGGTGAAAAAAGGTTCAGAGCAATTCTCAGAGACAAACGCTGTTCCTTCCGCTTCGCGAGTCGCTTTTTCTTTCACATGAATAGTGACATTTAGACACTTACACTTGAACTTGCTCATTTTCTAGAACGTTCAAGTCAATTGTAGTTTTCTCCACTGGATTGCCTTTGTATATTTCAGATGACAAGCACAGAAACTGATCCAAGTATAGACAAAAATTATTTTAAGAGCGAATACTAAATCCCGTGACACGAGTCTCGTGACTTTGTGGGTAAGACGATTATTCAATATCGACCAATCAAAATTCACGGTTGGAAAAATCTAACCAATCAAAAGTTCCCTGAGCTGGGACAAACCCTTGCCAAAAATTAAGTAATTATCATATCAGCTGACTAACCAAACCTCCTCAGAAAACGCCAAATATTCAGCGAAATTCCTTCGAAATTATGATACTAAAAAATGCTCTTTTTTCCAGATACGACCTGCTCTCTGACATTATGCAAGAACTTGAATAAAACGGTGGTTCTAAGTAGGGGAACTGCTCATTAATTTTTCAAAATGTGGGTAATCTAATCTTGTCTGACAACTGTCACCTTGGTTAACCCTTTTGTGTCCTGCTGTGTGTTGCAGGACCAAAGTTTGCCCATACTATCCAATGAATGATAGAAATTAATCAACAATGAGAATGTTGAACCACTTAATAACAAAATCCAGCTTGCTATGTTCACAACATAATGGGTAAAATTGGCCACAGTTAATTTTTTGATGTTTTCTCTTTTTATGTGAATTATGTGTCTAAATTAATGTACAATGTACCAGTGATAGATTTGAGTGATGGCTGGAACCCTCTGTAGATTGACAAATTAATTTTGAAGTGGTAAAGTGGTCTACCTCCTGCCTTGGTTAAGAATTGTACAGCTTGTTTTATCTTTTGTTGTTGGTTATTATGTAGTCACATTTTGGAACATGGGAAAGGGATGACTGTCTTACTCCATTTATACTCATACATGCAACAGCTATACTTCTTTCCTTGAGACAACAAACTTGGAGATCCATAACAGCTGAAAATACAGGTTACAAGGACTCCATTCCCACTGTAACTGGCATTCTTAATGAGTATGATCAATCAATTACTGTTAATAAATAATTGTCATCATTATCATCATTTCTACAGTTGAACCTATGTTAAGTGGCACCATATAAAGCAGTCACCCTGTACTAAGCAGTTGCTTTTCAAAGTCCCAAAATTTTTTCCCCTAAATCACTGTAATTTTTTACTACTATTAAGCGGTCACCTCTATTAAGCAATTGTGGTCAACCGTAATGGAGTCCTAACAGCCTGTTTGTATTGTCCTCCACCTGTTTTTAAAATTAAGAATAATCTTTCAAGTAAAACTGAATCTTTCACTGTCTCCCAAAATCAATGTTAGATGAAGTTTTAAGCAGGTTTTTGTAAATTGGTCAATTATGGCTTAAAATGACATTTTTGTTCTTTTTCATAATACCTCTATTCTGGGTAACCTGTATTGAGCAGTCACCCTGCCATTCCCCATAGATGACTACTTAATACAGATTCAAATGTATTACTATTATCATCAGCATTAACATTATTATTATAATATTTTCATTGTATAGGAAAAATAAATAACAGGATCAAACAAAGAGGGGCCACCCCATAAAAATAAAGTGTAAAGGACTAAACTTGGTAAATAAAAATTTCTGTTTATTCCCAACAGCAGTTAAAAGCTTTATTGGACTACCTTTTTCACATACAAACATTCCAGATGGCAATTATGTTACATCTTTTAAAATAATCATGTGATTTGGTGTCTTTCCAAATTATCAGGAATGCTAATCATAACATAACTGTAAGACTCACTCTGTGATAAAATATAGGTATTCAATAAAATTCAATTGACAATAAATAATTAAATATCAAACTCAATCTGTTAAGTTCATCTCAGTTAACCCTTTAACTCCCATAAGTGAGCAAGATAGAATTTCTCCTTACAATACCCCTATAATAACATGCAGACATTAGTGATGAGAATGAAGAAAGAATCAATTTGAGGATTAATTGATCCATTAAAGTCTCCAAACTAACATTATAAGACTAGTATAGCAGACAGAAAATGTAATCTTGGGAGCGAAAGGGTTAATGTAGCCTGTAAATGAACCGTCCTTGAATGAAAAAAAAAAAAGTGCCCTGGCTGATTTGTTGTCATTAGGAATGCTTGAATGTAGGCTGAATTTGAACTTGTCAACATTCTGTCTATAGTTTCAAGGATTTCAGAATATGAAAAATGTGCCTAACACGTGATAAATAGATAGACACAAAATAAATAATCAGCCACAATATACAATGTCCTTTTATATTTAAAAACTTACACCTTTGTGACAGATTGTGTGTGGTATGCTGCAAGCTAGTGTTTCAATTAAGTGTTCCAAACTAAATTTGTCTTAAAATTTTTACCTACAATGTACTTTGGAATTTTTAAATGTTATCTATCAACCCTTTAACCCTCAGATTGACCAGCACCTAATTTCTCCTTACCATACCACCCCTCAATCACACATTAAGGTCACAAGAATAAAGGAAATAATCAACAACTAAGGAAGCTCTTGATTGATACAAAAATTCTCCCTGTCAGCCTCTTAAGAAAAGTACTGAGAGTAGTATGGAGAACATACACACGGATGTATGTGTTAGGGTTCAAGGGTAAACAAAATTTTTAAAGGAGGTTCTTCAACTCCTAGAACTGTTACCAAGAAATTCTTTCATTACAGATGGGAGTGAGGATGGCAGAGGGTTTTTATGTGACTTATGATGCATGATGCATGAATTTTACCAAAAAGGTGAGCATGATTTGTGAACTTATGTACCAGAGTGAGGTGTGACTTGCCTCCTGAAATGTATGTGACCTGTGAAATTTTTCCATTGTGAAAAAACATCAAAATTTCCCTCACACCTTGTACACAAGAAGATAGATTTGAAGTTTTCCTTTCACACATATGAAGCCCAAATTTTCAGGAACCCCACCCTCCTTTGTTATACTCTGGAGTGACACGTAAAGTCTTGGTTTTTGTATCTTTTTTTAAAGACATAGATACCAAACAACTAGAGGGTAAATGCACATTTGGTGCTATGTATGAAAAACTACTTAATATGCATTTGGGAAACATTCATTTCAAAACTTACTTTTCAATTGTTGCCTGTGGCTCAAAAGAATCTGGCATCCAAAATTTTTTAGGGGATCAATGTCAATTTAAAAATATGTAGGCCAGTCTTGCAAAATTTAAGAGAGAGGAATTGATTAAGATAAAGGGCAATTAGAAGCCGCATTGGATAAACCCTTCCTCACTAGGATTTCCAGCTGAAATAAATGATCATCCTTTATGTCTGAACAAATGTCCCGAAGGCCTTGAGCTAAGTTTAGAAGATAGTCAGAGTTTGTCCCACTAGGACCCTTAGAGTGTAGAATTTGGTTTGCAATCTCTGATAACGGTGCAGGTCCAAGATAAAATTCATTCTGAGGTGTTGCAATGTAAAGCTTTGTTTCAAAAGGATGATGGCAAGTATCTTGAGGATGAAATGTTACCCATGTTGCCTTGTAGCCATTCTTCTCTCTGTAGTCAAGGTAGTCAATCACACTGGGTATATCCTTTGCTGCAATTTCATAGGCAATCCCCCAAACTCTTTCCTGTAGCAATTGAATCAAAAACGTAAATAATTAAATAAACAATTATAATAAATCAATAAAGTTTTGTATTTCTCATAATTTGTTCTTCATTCAGAGGTTTCCTCAAAAATACTTTACTGGTAGGTTTAACAACTGATTATTTATTCCTCTCGTTTGTTCGTTCCTTGTTACAGAAGAGTTACGTATATCAAATGTAACAGTCTCAACATACAACCACAAACTTACCTCGGCATTTTCCAGGAGTGTAACCACTCTTCCAGGCTGAAACAAAAAACGGATACGAGAGACATGAATGTAATCTTCTCTCATTTGTAGATTATTACGTGTAGTTCACCTGCCAGCACCGACGCCAAAGGATGGAGAGCTTTGACATTTTGCCTTTTCATACCCTCCAAGAAATTACAAATTGCTAGAGAGAAAACTTGTGCATGTTAACCCTTAGCTGTTCGATTTAGAAAAATAGAGACACGAAATAAACTCAAACGACTGCGAGGAAAAAAAAGTGAACGAACATAAACGTTCTTCACCATGAATATTGACTTAATGGCAGGAAATTTTCCGGTTTGATTGCCTGTCCGAATTCGTACCTTCTCTGGAACACCTCTGTGATCACTGCTTCCCTGGTAGAATCTTCGCTCGTATCCTTCGATGAAACCAGGAAGTTTCCTCAAAAATGGAAAGTTTACCTTCCATATCAGAGAACCATAGCCAAATATCCACAAATTTTGCTTGTCTGACATATTTTCCCTGCCTGGCCCGGATTAAATAAATAAAACAGGTGACCAGCCAATAACTACCCAACGACATTTATAATTTCGTCAGCATTTTAAAACTCCACCGCTGTCAAAAGAGATCGAAGGCTCTCAAAGTACCAGTGACACGAAAGTAAGCTCTACCGAGAGTTCTGACAGGTCAAGATGAGAACAAAAGACTCCCGTTACTGATCGTTTATATTAGTTTGTTGCGTTTTTTTTCTATGGAGAGTTCTATGTTAAGAACGGGTAGCTGTGTTCGTTTCTGTTGCCATAACATTTTATTCTTTTACACTAAGTGCGGCGAAGGTTCCCCTTGGTCAGAACTGGCTTAGAGTTTCGCTGCTTTTGAGTGATTCCCTAAGCTAACCAAAAGCTAACTTTTGACGAAAGAATCTGCTGGCTGTATCACGAGGAACGATGATTTTTCGCCGCGAAGTCATCGGACAGTTTTACAACAAGTTGCTCCTTTCCTCAGAGATTGCAAAGGCAGAAGCTTTCGTCGTCGAGCCGGTCAAAGAGAGAACGAGTGACTTTATAGTCATCTGATCCAAGATGATCTCAAATAGGGATTTTAATAGAAAAAAATTATTTGGTTAGAGTGTAGAATTGCCACATGATCCATTTCGCTCAGTGGCAAATAGCTGACATCAGTATTTTAAATGAATATTTCGTATGTATCGACTTTCACACAGCACTTGGATTCGCTACCATCTAATTCAATAAAATTTGTGTTTCTTTATTTATCTCGTTACAGTACTGTTATCACAATAACATTGTTTCTGTGGTTACTTTTAGTTTCTTGAGGGCAGGGGGTAATTGATGGCTCGTGCGATGGATTTTCGGAAACCTCGGTTAGGAGAATACTCGACCCCTTCGAGCTTGTGTTTATGCCAGTATCCGCCGAAGATTTCGCATTGTTCACGCAACAGAATATCGGTCAGCTCAGGAAAAGGCTTGCACTTTATTACAAATTTTGTAATTAGAATGCGATGGAAACTACAATTTTACACGCCATAAGTTGTTTGATACAAACCGGCATACTCTGGTGACACAGCGTGGCTGTTGTTTCATCAACGTAAAAAATGGCTTAACCAAAACGTTCTTTGCTGACGAAATTGCCGCACTCTTTGTCCTCCAAACGACAATCCGTGAGCGTAGCTAACTTTAATTCGATCGAAGATGCTTATTCCACTTGATCATAAACAATGCGTTGATGCAGAAAAACGACAACTACGCTCGAAGGTTTCCAGTCATAATTTCTTTCCTTCGAACTAACACCTGATGTACCAGGCTTTTCCCAAAGCCAGTTGGCAACACGGCCAGTAGATCCTTTCCGGAACCAGTGCAGAAATTGCTTCTTTTTGTTCCGATTTTAATGCGCGAGACATATTAAATTCTGCAAGACACTTAAGTGCTTCCTCGAAAGCGGAATCGAAACTAGCAACTTCATCATTTAAAAAGTTTGCCATTTTTCGCATTTTTCCCGCAAAAGCAAATGACACATTTGACTTGTGATTGACAGTTGGAGCTTAACCGCATCGATTATAATAATTATTTAATAATAATCAAATACTTATACTTAGCGCAATATACATATGGATATGATCTAATGCGCTCAAAACAACTGAAATAAAATAAGTAAACTTAGCAATTTAAGACTAAACATAAATTTGTATCTGCAGATCTCGCCATCATCGAAATTACTATCTCAAAATAATATAATCTAATACTTACCATTTAAAAACTAATATAAAGTGCTTTAAAAAGCAAAATATCCATGACAAAATTATTAATGATATGATATGTAGTAAAATTCCGAAATCCTAGATCGATTTATGTCATATTTCAATAATCTTTAGAAACTACATCTAAATACTCCAATATTAGTAATTTATTCCATAACGTGGGTGCGGCCACGGTAAAGGCTGCTTTCCTGAAGTCACGTCTTCTTCGACTCGAAGGAAGGTTGAGTTAAGAACAACTCCTCATTTAACCTCAAGTATTATGGGGATTTCTTCTTCACTCAAACCAAATCCATGATATAGGTAAGAGCCAGGCCATGAATGGCCTTGAATGTCATAAGCAATATCTTGAACTTTATCCTGGATCTCACTGGTAGCCAATGCAGCTCTTGTAATTCTGGCGTGATGTGACAATAATGCGATCAGGAACTCCGTTCGTGGGCGAGTGGAGTTTTGCAAAATGATAATGACCTCGGGCAGGCGTAATCTTCACTCCCCCACCCCTACCCCTCTCCTTATTATTGACCGTCGACCACCCCTTTTGTGGAAATTTCTTTCTCCTCCCAGCCTTCCACTGCCATTGTAATTAAAGATTGCGGCTATAATTTCCGTTAAGAAAATAATGAGCACTCGCTCGCCAAAATTACGCCTGCTCTGCAGGCTACATGAAATGTGGAGCACTTAGGTCGATCAGTTTGCGAACTATAGCCTCCAACGTACTTCACGCGCCTGCAATGGAAGAAGCTTAAGGACCTCAAGAAACCATTGTGGATTGTGCCACGTTTTTTTACGAAGAGAGGAAATATTTTTTTTGCGGTTTTGCGGTTTTGAAAGATTTTTTCCACGGTTTTTCGGTTTCTTATAGATCCCAATGCCTCCTTTATTAAGAGGTCAATAACGCGATTAAAAGGCACTTCTTTTCTTTTCTATAACACCACTACTCTATGAAATCTGAATTAAGCGGTCACTCAGCCATCCCCGTGGGTGACCGCCAAATACAGTTTCGACTGTACAAGGAAAATACTTGTAAAAATGAACTGATGTGGAGCTTTTTTCTGAAAATATGGGAGATTGGACCTCAGAGAATATTAGCAACTTGGTTTCAATCAACATCAAAGGTAACTGTTGATGAGCTGAAAGTGGAATGCGACCAATCGAACAAACTTTCCTTTCCGATTCAATGAGGTAAAAGCTACAAACAAGACCCAACAACAACAACAAATTTACATCGGGATTGTCCAAGACAGTAACTACTTTAACCAAGAAATCACTAATAGTATGTTTAGGTAGCCTGTGGTGTATGCCTAACGACATTTTATGATTACGTCACTTCAAAGACCCACCATTTTTAAAAGAGATACTTTCATAAGAGGCAATATATTGGACATCAACGAAATCTGAAAGTGCGCGAGATACTAAACATAACAATCGGCCCACAAGAAAAACTAAGATATACCAACAAAACAATAGGAAAACAAAACAAAATTAAAATTGTTCAAGAAACTATAGAAACAGTTGCCTAAAAAGGAAAACTTAAAGGGTGCAAGATACGAACGTAACAATTGTCTAACAGGAAAAACCAAGATTACGCGAGATGTTAACGTCACAATCATCTCGCAATGAAAACTAAAAAGGCTCGAGATACAATGTGGCAATCGCCTAACAAATAAACTAAAAATGCGCGAGATAATAACAAAAGAGTGGCATAGCAAGGAAAAAAAAAGAACAAGGAAAAAAAAAAGAACAAGAAACTAACGAAACAATCGCCTGACAAGGAAGACTAAAAGTGCACGAAATACTAACATTACCAAACGATTATTCCATGAGCGCGCATATCGGATGCCAGGAAAACCGAAAGTGCGCCAGATACTAACGTAACAATCGGACAAAAGAGAAAACTAAAAGAGCACGAGAAATTAATAGACAATCAAGGAAAACCAAAAGGACGCAAGAAACAAATGCAACTGTCGCCTGATAAAGAAAAAAAAAAGTGGACGACATACTTACATTACAATAAGATAACAAAGAAAACCCAACGTGCGCGGAACTCTAACGTAGCAATCGGGAAAAAAATGAGAACTAAAAGTACATGAGAAACTAACAAACAATCGCTCAAACGGCAAGAAAATCTAAAAGTGCGGGAGATACTAGCGTAACAATCAGACAACGAAAGAAAGCAAAAGTACACAAGATACTAACGTAGCAATCACATGACAAGGAAAACTGAAAGTGTACGAGATACTAACGTAACAATCGCTTGACAGAGAAAACTGAATTAAAGTGCGCAAGATAGTAGCGTAACAATGACATGACAGGGGAAACTAAAAGAGTGCAAGATACTAACGTAACAATCACATGACAGGAAAAACTAAAAGAGCGCGAGATAATAACGTAACAATCACATGACAGAGAAAACTAAGAGAGCGCAAGAAACAAAATGGGTGTAATAAACGTAACAATCACTTGACAGGGAAAATCAAAAGTGCGCGAGATACTAATGTAACAATTACATGACAGAGAAAACTAAAACTGCGCGAGATACTAACGTAACAATCACATGATAGGGGAAACAAAGAGTGAGCAGAATACTAAAGTAACAATCACATGACAGGGGAAACTAAAAGTGCACGAGATACTAACGCAACAATCACATGACAGAGAAAACTAAAAGAGCGCGAGATACTGACGTAACGATCACATGACAGGGAAAACTAAGAGAGAGCGAGATACTAACGTAACAATTACATGATAGGGAAAACTAAAAGTGCGCGAGATACTAACGTAACAATCACATGACGGGGAAACTAAAAGTGCACGAGATATTAACGTCACAATCACATGACAGGGAAAACTAAAAGTGCACGAGATACTAACGTAACAATCACATGACAGAGAAAACTTAAAGTGTGCGGGATACTAACGTAACAATCACATGACAGAAAACTAAAAGTGCGCGAGATATTAACGTCACAATCACATGACAGGGAAAACTTAAAGTGCGCGGGATACTAACGTCACAATCACATAACAGAAAACTAGAAGTGTTAGGGATATCAACGTAATAATAACGACAGGGAAAACTGAAAGTGCACGAGATACTAACGTAACCATCATGACGGGGAAACTAAAAGTGCACGAGATACTAACGTAACAATCACATGACAGGGAAAAATAAAAGTGCACGAGATACTAACGTAACAATCACATGACAGAGAAAACTTAAAGTGCGCGGGATACTAACGTAACAATCACAGGACAGAAAACTAAAAGTGCGCGAGATATTAACGCTACAATCACATGACAG